AACCGTATTGTAGCGAGCTTGCTATAGAAACTCTTTGGCCCAACTATGAATATGCTGGAGATGGTAAAAATGTAAGATTTTATGTACTTTTTTCTAAATATAATTACGCATCATAAAACACTATATTTCTTCATTCGTATTTTTGCATAAAACGAATTTGAAGCAAAAGGCATATTAAAATAATTATTCAATATATAACTCTTCATACACCATAAAGGAAAAGAAATGTTAGAATAATACGGAATAAATTTTAGTTCTAGTAAAAGTAAATAGTGATGTTCATGAAGTACATAAAAATGAGAAAATATATTAAATCATTCGGAAGAAATTTTTGAATATTTATAATAGAATTATTTTAAAGTTATATACTTCATTAATTCCCAGCTAAAACCAAAGATCTTTTTTTTTTTTTTTTTTTTTTTTTTTTTTTTTTTTTTTTTTTTTTTTTTTTTTCTTTTTTGTTTACATTCATGTTTGTGCTAATCTCAAATTCTTTACATTTTCTTGAAAGAAAGAGATATGCATTCTATGTCAGAAACATACGATAATTGCTATACGGAAGTCAAAACTCTATTTTCTCAATTAAAGAAAGGAGAGTATATTTAATATTTATAAAGATGTGTATGTAGTGCAACTTTTTTGTGGAAATTTCACCATTTTTTTCTCATACAGTAAATTTAAAATCAGCGATGGTCGTTCAAAATTAAGGTCACTTTTGGTATTAGGTCAATTTATAAAAAAATGAGATATAAGAAAATGAATGTATATGAGTCTTAAGTTTCATTTTCTTAATTACATTTTAAGAATATTAAAGGTAATTTTTAAAGCAATTATTTTGCACATTCAGGGCACCATCTTTGACTAAACTAAAAAACTAAACTTTCGTAAATATTTTAACTTACAGGATGTAACGATAATTTCTGCTTTAAATGTCTGACTATCGTCTCCTGTAAAAGAATTTAATTTTCAGGCTTAGTGAAAATTACGTATTCCATTATATGCTACTGCGAGAAAAAAATCATCATTATTTAGACAGTCTTACGAAGCTTATTTCCCTTAACTGATTAAATAATAAATAAGTTAAACATTGGCACACTAATTTATTAAACAGTGTGAATAACCTTTAGAAATATTTAAAATATCATTTTATCAAGACGGTAAGTAATTTAAGCCACTATAAAAGATTATGCAACTGTACTAAAATATAATTAGTAGATTTAGCGTACTTTTAAATTACCATTTATCCCGCTCTAGATGAAATATTTCTTTTACGCGTCTCAACTTTTACTCACTTACGGATAAACTGTAATTCCATTTTTCGCGATTAAATAAATTTTCAGAAACTTTTATTAATCCAGGTAGTACGTTATCTGTAAGCAATTTAGAGAAATAATTTTGCAGATCATATAAGTATCTGGTACTAATTTTATGAATTATCGTCCTTAAAACACCATCGAATACAGATTCAATGAAAAACATTTTTCAAAACTTGTTTTTCCAATTACTACAGTTTATCGTATACAAATAAATTATAAGGTTTTGAACCATCTCCGCATAAAATAGCCTTTTTTATTCGCATGAAATTTTGTTTTTAAAGGAAATTAAACCGTAATTGTATTTGAATGAATTTTAGTAAATTCTAGAGAATTCCATATTTACATGTTACGCAAAACCGCTTGTTCTGCAGATTTATACGATTTCCAATTACGTGAATGGTTTTGGAGTGCGTCTGCAAATAGTTTGTAAAACTGTAGTTTTTGAAATGCTCTCAAAAGTAAAAATTGAAGTACTCTAAATCGTAAAATTCAGGAAAATTCAACAAAGAGAAATTCTTAAAAACTGTTTCCTAAATCATTATAATATACTTTATATAAACTAGTTTTAAAAATGTTAACCATCTCTAGGTAAAATAATTGTTTTATTCTTGTGAATTTTTATTTATTTAATGGAAGTTAAACCATAAGTGTATTTTCCATATTTCAATTAATTTCTGAATGATTTAGAGAAACAATTTTACATTTCGAGTATGAGATTCTGGACTTTATTTGATGAATTATCCCATTAAATTATTCTGAAATGCATAAGTCAATTAAGAGTTATTCTACTAACAGAAATTTTATAAAACAGTTTTTTTAATTATTGCAATTCAGATTTTAAAAGAAACATTTCAATATTAAATTTAAATCTGAGGAAAAATTATCTCTTAGTCTGGTGCAGATTTTGAATAAATTCTACCAATTTCGAGGATGATTAAAGAGTTCTATCTTTTTCAGAAGCAAAAGCATTTTTTAAAGAATGGAGAGGGTGATAACCATTTTATATTGAAAACAAATAGTAATAAGGAAGGTGAATAAAAAAACAAAGAAATTAAAATTCTGAAAGCGTTAGATAACTCCTATTGGTATACGTGTCAATAGTTAAAGACTTAGTTAAAGTACAAGATATTTTCTCCCTTTTTTACAGGAGGTTGTGGTGTAACTGCATAGTATGTTCGGCTAGCAAGCGAAAGGTCCGGTGTTCGAATTCAGGGAAAGGCTTTGCAAATTTTTCAGGTCTCCTGCTTGAATAACCTAATGACTCTACAAAAGTCTTGTAAATGTAAAATCTTTTTAAAGAAAGTCCAATTCAAGCATTCAAGACTCTTTCAAAAACATAAATCTAAATTTTAATTAACTACCTGACTATAATTAGCTATAGAATAATTTTTATTTCTTCTTTTCAGACATAAGATTCAGATCCTACGACGCGAATTTCGGTTTCCCCGATGTATGGCAGTTGTTCCGGTAGTTTTTCCCAATGCTTTCAGAATTCTGATATACATTTCTTTACTATTTAGTTTCTGTATAAAATAGTTGTTGGTTTTCCCATCTTTGAAGGTTTTTCTCTGAAGAAGAGGGATCTGTATCTGATTACCCTCCAAATAGATAGCGTTTTATTCAAAATCAATTGCAAATTAAACTTCATTTTTGGCCTAATTTTAAATTACCAGGATTTATTTTACGTAACGTAGTTTTAAGATTTTTCAGAGCTAAAATTAAGCTACTGTACTCACGAACGTATAGAAATGATCGCAGTATCGTCTTACTGGGATTTAAAAAAGATTGGCATAACCTGTGATTGTATAAATGATTAACTTTATCTGGTATGTAATGCATTAGCATAAGCTGCTTTGTCTGTACGTAATTTAACGCAGTTAGTAACTTTTAAAATAATCTTTAGGAAAAAAAATATCTTAAGCAAAATAATATACTGCAAATAAAAGTGTTAATTCTGAATCATCAGTTTTCGTGTTATGAGATACAAAATTTTGAATATTAATCTCACTATCAATATAACATTTTGATATCATATTTATTTAAGCAAGTCAAATATATTTTAAATGTTATCAATTCATTTTTCAAAACAAATTAAACAAAAATCTGTTCGTTAAAGTAACAGTACTTTTTAATATTGCATATCATTTTATGCAATTGTAAAGAAAAAAGCAATGTAATTTCCATAAAAATTAATTTCCCAGCAATTCAGGCAAATATTTAAGTTTGAACTTAGATACATACCTTATACAATCGCCTAGAATTTATTTTATGTTCGAATGATTATTGATCACAAACAGAAATAGAGAAAATGATAGAGTCATTATTAATGCGATACTGAATTATTTACGTTTATTATCGGTTAACTATCGACAGCTTAGCTAACAAAAGATATTATTAAAATATTTATATTCGTATATTCAATAAAATGCCCGTATTGTTACAATTTGCTCCTAAGTTCATTTAGACAATTATAATTTGTATTATTATGTGTTATTAATTATTCCGTAATTATTTTAGTTCGTAAGTTTCGTTCCTATCAGGTCTGCTTCAATTTCTCCCAATGAAAAAAAAAGGCTATTTTGTTCTGAAAATACCCAAATAAACTTACGAAAACATTGCTTTTACTTTTAATAGAAAAATTTTATTCAACGAAGGGCAAACCTGTTGCAGTTAATTTTGCGCATATTGAATTTAGTTTCACTATTTCGGATTATCATTAATTCTTATTCATTTCAAAATTTCTTTGCATTATTTTTAGATTTTTGTTGCAATAATAGAGCAAAACGTTGAATCAAATTAGTGAACTACACAACCTTTTATCAGTTATAATGGTACTGTTACTTTAATGTAAAGTAAAAAATAAATTTAGAGCGCGTAAAATTTTTCAAGCTTAAAATTTTTATCAATAGCTTTGAGAACCATATTTACTACAGAAATTAGTTTAGTTTAGTTGAATAATTAAACTACTACAATGTTGTTACTTATTAGAAGACTGTAATTTTGCAAATAATTCATATAGCTTACTCCTAGCAGCAAAGTTAGCAATATTTGTATTTCAAATTAAGTACGTTTAATTGTTTAAACAATTCATTGTAAGCTACAGGAATCGGCTTAACATGAGTACATTTGTAGTATTATAGTTTCCAATATTTGGTAGGATAGTCCTGTTCAACTGCGGGAATGGAAATGTTGAGAATGAGAAAGCATTTAACCACTGTGGGCTTTAACCTGTCTTTGGACTTGCTCCTAAACAAGTGGCGGGGAATGGAAAATAAGCGCTAAAATGCGCTGCCGTTGAATGGGGATGGAATGGCTCTGGTTCGAGCTGGTGAGTAACATAGGAAAGTGCATGCAGAAAAATGGGAGAGGTCAAATTTCTTTGGAACCAGCTGGAGTGATTCAGAGAAGATGAACTATTGACGTGGAAATTACAGGATAGGGTTGGTGGAGAACACATGTTATGCAACTACTAAAATTGATTGATAAAATTTACAGATGGAGAATATAAACAATGCAAAAGTAATGAAAGTAATCATATTTACAGAATATGTACTACAAAGTAATATATGCAAAGTTCTTTTCGTGCTTTGTTAGGATTCATAAAGTCTTTAACTTCATCGTTGAAAAACTTAAAGCAGTGGATTCATTGGATAGACTAAAAAGCTGGATTATGAAAACTTCTGCGAGGTCTTTTGAATGGTTGTTCAACTGTGGGACCATAATTTGCCTGTTTGGCAATATAAGAGAAATTTGAGTTCATCACTTTGGAGAAAAACCTTTTAAAATTGAGAACTTGTTAGAATGTGTCTTGAGCATGCAAATGGTCAAGATCGAACGATATGAATGCGTAAATTGCTCACGAATCAAATCGAGTTGGTGACGGAACGGAGAATTTTATTTTGGAAGTTCCAGATTTTTTTACTTTAGGTTTTAGATTCTGTGGTCCAAACTGGAAAAGAAATATATAACCTACATTAGAACAAGAGAAAGAATATTACATCAAGAATATTACATTTAAGCGACGGGAAAAATAGACTCTACTGGCTAGTGCCATCTATTGATTAAAATAGTGCCATCTATTGACTAAAATGAGCCGCTCAATGGGTATAGTGGTTAGTATCGTTGACAGCGTTCCGAAAAGTCCTGGTTCGAATCCCGGAGAAGGCATGGATGTTTGTAAATGTATAGTGTCGGTGCGGCATGGCGGTACTCTAAATATGCGGCGAGCCGAAAGTCCTCTCGTGTGGTTTGGTGGAAAGGGAGAAAGGTGGGAAACCTTCGAACCCTTCACCCCCGGCGTGCTCTCAATCAAAATTGAACAGTGTAATTTTGTTTGCGGTAGAGTGCAGATGTATGGTTCTTGTATCTTGTTTTGTAGAAACATTATGTTATTTTGAAACAGGAAAAATGAAAAATGAGCAGTACCGTCGCCGGGACTCGAACCACGGACCTCTCGAATTCGCAAAGAGCGTACTCACCACTACACCACGAAGTTATGCTAAGAAGGTGGGAGGAATACCTTACATACCCTCTTTTAAAGAGTGGCTGGGGTTTTAGGGGACCCAATCGCCAAATCCTTGTGGTGAAGAATCATCATTCACCACCTTTTTTTTAGTTCGGGCGCCACTGCAGAGACATTAGGTTATTTCGGTGCAGGAAAGATGAAAAATGAGCAATGCCCTTGCCGAGACTAGAACCGCGGACCCTTCGAATTCGCGAAGGGCGTGTTACAATATGAGGACATTCTAAGAAGGCGGGAGAAATACCTTACAATTTTAGATGAAAACAAAAGTTGTTAATTTTGTAAACGTGACAAACAATTTAATTCTGTAAAGAGAATTAATCTCTATAATCCACTAGTTCTTTTCGGTATAACAGCGTGTATGATGATGCCTAACTCATTACAAAACCAAAGAGACTTAGGTCGCATTTTTAACTCTTAATTGGGAAATCAATTCCCTTTCTAATAAATGTAAAAAATTATAAATGTTTAAAATTATTTTGATCATTTTCACAAGAGAGAAAATAGAGGAATATAATTACCAAATCTATTGTGTGTAATCCATAAACGGTATTGTGATATTAGGATTTTCCCCTCAAAACAACTATTTATAGACATGTATATTTTTCTAATAAATCTCCCTTAAAAATTAATATTTGCGAACGCAATGCATTAAAATTACCAACGCAAGTAGCTCTTTCTTCATAAATGTGAAGAAAGGAAGCAAACAAAAAAATTCTGTATCTGGAAATAAATAAAGAAAATTCATATCCCTAAAAATGAGGTTTCATAAAACCCTTAGAACCTGTATTATTTTAAATGATTACTTAATAGAACTGGCAATTTTTTCCAAGTAAGGCTTAGCGATGTATCTGGGCCTAAAATTCCAAGAAAACTTTTTGTACTTCGTCAGAGGCATTTTTTGGCATGAAGACAGGAAAGCTTACCGACAATTTATCACGACCTTGTCAGGTAGAATTATGAGCTTTACACTGATACTGTTTAATTATTAAGACCAATTTTTAATGGATAGAAGTAGTTATCCTTTTTTTCGTAAATAAAAAATTTCGTTACTGAAGAACGCTGTTTTAAGACAAAAAGGAAATTAAACCTGGAAAGAAAAACAAGCTTTGGGAGGAAAAAAGTGTAATTCTGAGAAGGAAAAAAAAGTATCATTCCGAAAGAATATAATATTTACTTAAAATAAGATTTTGCTGTCAAGAAAATGTGAAAGTGTTTCTTTCATCTGCAGACAGGGGTTTTTGTGAACAGCAGTTTCTTTTGCATGCATGCCTTATATGAACTCTAATGCTGATAATTCTGGAAATTGGTAATAGTTAGTGCTTATTAATAAGGTCTAGATGGTTTTTGTACATATTCAAACTAAAAAACAGTCTCAGTTAAGACATCATATTTTGTTTTAAGATATTAAATATTTTACTATCAGAAACAAAATGAAACTACATTTTTAAAATAATAAATGCATAATTAATACATAATACTATGTTTCAAAGTCGGTGTTAAATGTTGTCCTCCATCGCTACCGAAAATGTTAAGCTTCCATTCGTCGGAGGAAATAACTGTGTTCCGAATCTCATCTGATAAATTAACGTGAGATTTTGCAAACACTAATCTCTTTCTCCTGTTTATTTCCGAAATGAAAGTTTTCTTTCTAGCTACCCTTTCCATAATAGTTTCATTCATTTAAAACATTCCGTAAAACTTTCAGTCAGTACTAAAAGTTGTCTTGCCATTTCGTAAAAGATTTTAGTCTATAGAGTAAACGTTTTATGCGAACTATTAGCAACACGCTTTAGGTAACTTGCGGTGCACTTAGTTTAGGTTTTTTTTTTCTTAACCTCTTTGATAATGCTACGTTTTTCCCTTGCAAATTATTTTAGATACCCGCCTACTTCTAATCTTATTTTCCGTTGATCCTGTCTCGTTGAACATTTTTTACACCATTTTTAGTAGTAAATAAACTTATGTTCAGTTGTATTCCTATAGCACAATAAGTTAAACCTTGATTTCTGAGATTAATAATCATGTTTTTAATATTACTATCCCGCTCCTTCGACTTCGAACCATTTTATCACAGAATTAGCAAAATAACATTTTAAAACTTTAGCACTGCAGATTTTATACTAACAGAGTTTCTTATCAGTGTAAACACCTAACCTCAGCATGACAAAATTTGCGACTAAAGGTTTCATTAGATCTGTATGTGTATTACCTCGTGTGTTCCTTATTTCCATTTAAAATTGCCAAGCATGTCCTTTGCTACTTAATATGATCAATTATTGGCAATTGCCAATGCTTTTCTTACCCACTGTAGCTCTAATACAAATAGACATTTAAACACATTTTTCAGAGCTACCTATTTTTGACAAAAGTTATTAATTTTCTAATCTATAACTATAAAACTCCGAACATGCCTAAAAGTGTATTATGTATGTGTTACTGCCTTCTCTGACTTCACATTAAATCTATTCCGTTCCTTGATCCATTTTACCAGTTAAAAACCTCGTTCAACGTTTGCGTTATGAACAGGAATTCAAAAATAAAACTAAAAATTTTTTAACAATTCCAAAAAACAATCAATATGGAGACAAGCTTAAAAAATACTATCCATTGTTCAAGCAGATTATAATCTTGGATGGACTTAATTCTTTTGTCTTCAAATTTGAAGAATGGCATCAGCCTGCAGAATTGTTCGTACAGTCTCGCGTCGTCGATGGTAGCACATCTTTGTTGCATCAACTCAATGGAAGGAGACGAATTTTCCAATTTATACTTATTCTATTTTTTAAGTAGAATCCATTCAAAACTTTAAACTCATAGAGTTGCCGGGTCCATTTTATCAAATATTTAAGAGATTCTTTATAAATGCTTTGAAATTCATCATACATGTTCTGCTCTTCTTCCATCGAAACAGTACTTTCTGCTCGAACATTCAAAAAAAGGGGGAATATTTTAAGGTTGATAGAGTACTTTATATATTAACTGAAGAAAGAGGACTTGACTCTCTTTGGATGTTGTTGGCTCATTATGAAATGTATAATGTCAGTGAAAGTTAATCCACTTTATAATATGTATGTATTGACGTATGTAAATACAGTATATATAATACGATATAACAAATGAACATAGAGAATTAGATTACTTTATTGGATCTGCTGCCTATCATCATCTACAATTTTCACTGTATGAAGCTGAAAATCAACTGTATAGCAAATTCTGTTCATTAGCGGAGAATATTTTAGAAAAGATTAAGTTGAGATGCTATAGTAATAAATACTGTCAATCAACGTTAGGTAGGTTTGCTTAACTATATTTAAAAATTAGTCCCAAAACTTTGTAGATTCGCTATGAATTAAAGAAAGCGTGTAATGTGTTTCAGAAAACTATTTTACAATGCTTTCGTTGATATGCATCAAAGAACTGATTTACAGAGTCATTACTGCTTTAATCTGGAGCTGAAAACATGAAAAATCAGGAATGCTGTTGCCGGAATTTGAACTCCAGACTTCCCGATTGCTTGCCGGACCTGCTTCCAATTATACCACAAAGGCACGAAGGAAGGAGGGAGAAATAAATCTTAACGGTTATGTATGGAGATGAGGATCCAGTCGCCAAATTATCGTCGACACATTTTATTTCATGCGCCACCAGAGAGTAATACAATTTTTAGAAGCCAGGGTACTTAAAGAAATCAGCAGTTGATCTCTCCAGAATTCGAACTTATGATCTTCTGATTACTCCTCGGGTGGGCTTCCATTATACCATGGATGCAAGATGTAAGGAGAGAGAAAATAGCTTACGGATTCAAAAAACAAAATGGGATCTTCGAATTTTTTTATTCATCTTGCAGTAATTTCTATGCCTTGTTATATTTTAACAATAATAAAAATAATGTTCTTTCAATTTATTTTCCATCTCGCATTTTTTACGTTCCTTTTTTCGCAACAAAAGAAGTCAGTTATTCTCAACTTCTTTCCCGTTGCCAAATCCATACTGAGAAATATATTTCGCTTCTTCACCATTAGGACTAAAAGCAATGTCGGGGGTTAACTTCGTCAAAGAAAATGGCTTACTCAATCTGGCTAAAGAAAATGGAACGCTATAAAGACGTCTTATTCTACTACCTTGAAAAACGAGAGACTCTTGATTTTTCTCCGAGGTGTTCTCCCACGCCCTCTACTGATTTACTTCATTTTTTTGTTCAGCGCTAGTATAGATTTATCTTCGCGCCGTTTCTCGAGACAAAAAAATAAAAATTAAATAGTTGGAAGTATAGTTTTACTTTCTGTTGTTTTACTAGATCTTCTCACAACTGAGACGAAAAATTTTATTAGTTTTGGGGAGCTCGTTAAAGAAGCTTCTGGAATAGGAAATAAAAACGTCTATGATTCACTTTCTGAATTATATTTCTACTGTTAAATTCGAAA